CGGGATGGGCGCGGGGGCGGTGGGATCAGCGCTGCCGCCTGTCTTTCAGGAGGGTGGAGGCCTGGGGGACCTGTTCCTCAACCTAAGCGGATGAATGGCGACTGTGGATGACCTCAAATTCCAAGGTAACCGCGAGGTTTGGGGCCCAGCCGACGGAGTGGTCAAACTCTTAGAGGCTTGGAAGCGTTTCTGAGCTTCGCTTTGGGTTCCTCTGAATAAAAGCTTCCTTCAAGTTTTGCCAGTAGTGTCAGGAATATCTCCAGTTCTCTGAGATAAGATTGTGCTGTCGGTGAGCTAAAAAGCGTTACATGTGTTGACTGAAATCCTTTGTGATGGGAAGTTAAAGCTGAAAATGGGCAGAGCGCGCCGTAATTTGGAATGGACTGTAGTTCCAGGCTTGCTTAAGCATGTGTATTGCTAAATAAATTCAGGTCTGAAAAAACTAATTTTTGGAGAGCATTAAAATTGCCCATTTCTACAGCCTTTTCAGAGAGGCAGCTTCCCCCTGCCCTTGCAGAACGCTGCTGATTCTCAGACTGGGGCTGATCGCAGGAAGGAAAGGCAGGCTTCAGGGGTGCTAGTTTATCACACAGGGCAGGTTAGCAGGAAAGCAAGCCTTGCACTTTGTTAACTAAGTAAATGTTCAGCTTGATCCTTTTCAGTTTGGGCTTTAAGAAACGGATCATATTTGACATACCTACACTAGCGATGTATCCTTTCTTGGGCTGTGTAGGGGTCTTAATGTAGTTTTTTGAGCCACAAAATCAAAGATTTTGGTAGCTTGATCATTGCCTCTCTTGTAATGTACTTATTTGCAGAATTTGACGATGCAGCTAATTTGCTTGCAGCAAATCCTGATGCTACCACAATAAGCATTGATGAGCCAGTTGAAATCCCCAAGAATCAGCACGGCCGTCTGCAGGAGTCAGGGAGGGAAGAGGATGATGAACTACTGGGGACCGATGACTCCGATAAAACGGAGGTAATGCTCTTACACCTACAGTGCCTCCATCGGCGCGTATACAAACAGCGCTGACAATGCTGAGATATTTCTAGAGGATACCAGAGATTCATGCTGGGTGACATAAAACTCTTTCTTCTTTGTCACAGGTTACTTTCTCAGTAGCAGAGTTGGCAGAAGCAAACGTGCGTTGGCTCTTCAGCCATTGTAGTCTGCAGCCTAGGAAATTGAACTGAAATGGTGGTGATTTAAGCTAAGCAAATAGGCCAGGAGATGAGTGCAGCAGCAGCTGAAAACCCAGCACCATGTTTGTTTCTGTCAGTTCTGCTGTGGGGTTGGTGACTCTGGCAGGAGAGCAGGGAACTTTGAAATGGCCAGGGCTTGTCTGAAGGCTCAGCTAATGCAGCCGCCAACAACAGGGCAACGACAACGAGGGAACCTGTCATGCCGATGAAGGCATGTGTTATAAACGATGTGGCGAAAGGTAGTATCTGGCTGCTCATTTGGCCACTATTCTGCTTGCAGGGAGATAAGAGACTAGCTGCTGCTAATAAATACTGGCAGGGGAAAGAGAAACTATTAAGTAATTCATAGTAAGCACTACCCTGTTAAGTTTGTTTTGTGTCCACATAGAGAAATCATTTAACTATTGTGTAAATGATCTAATAATGCATAAGTTGCATGCTTGTAATGTTTTTCATGTTGCCTCTCCCACCATACAGCTGCTTGCAGGACAGAAGAAAAGTGCCCCTTTCTGGACATTTGAGTACTACCAGACGTTCTTCGATGTGGACACTTACCAGGTTAATACTCCACTCCAGAGGAGAACTGTTGTCTGAACTATGCCTTACCCAGACATGGAGTTTTTCCATTTTGCATCTTCAGTCAGACAAATCTGTATGTTTTCATAGGTCCTGGACAGAATCAAAGGTTCGGTTTTCCCAGTACCAGGGAAGAACTTTGTAAGGCTGTATATCCGCAGCAATCCTGACCTTTATGGTAGGTATGAGGTGTGAGAAGTTCTCTTCTGTGCTAAATATTTCAAGTTTGTATTTCCTTTTACTTGCTAACCTTAAAAAAACCAAGAGGGCAGAAGAGTTGTTATTGAACTTGTTTGTTTCCTTTTAAGGTCCCTTTTGGATATGTGCCACACTTGTCTTTACCATTGCTGTTAGTGGCAATCTCTCGAATTTCTTTATACATCTGGGCAAGCCAACATACCACTATGTGCCCGAGTTCAGAAAAGGTTTGTACGTAGTCGATACAGTCCTGAGGTTTTGGGTTTGGGTTTTTTGTTTTGTTTTGTTTATAACGTGCTAATGAAATAATATAAAAACAGGTCACAGCTTTGATTTAGCAGAGCCTTTTGATTGATTGCTTTGTTTAAATTTTTAGAGATGCAAAATAAATCCTTAAAGTGGGCTGTAACTGGCTGAACCCTACTCCTCCAGAGCATAAAGTAGTTACAGGGTTTTAGTAGAGCAGGCAGGAGTGATTAGAGCAGTTATATTTCTAGCCTTAGTGAATGTCCCCTTGAACAGAGAGTGAAAGCGCAGCAGTGGCCACGGTGGTGCTTTTGTAGGTGCCTTCCTGGATCCACGGCCTTCTAGGAGCCTGCAGGCCTCAGACAGAAAATGCCTGAATTAGAGTATTACTTATACTGCCTGCTGAGGGCTGGAAGTTGTAACCTTCTGGCAAACTCGAAAATAAGCAAAAGATGCTCAACTGATACGTGCCCCAGAGAACTCGGAGTGAGGAGCCAATTGGCTATATGTGTCCTTGTAGTTTGAAGGAGACTGCCGTGCCCTGCAGAGGAACATGGCTTCTGTTTGTTTCCAAAATCCACAGCGTACTTGGAAAAACACTGCCATTTGGGAATCCAGTCACTTGCATAATTTCAGATTTGACGCTTGTGTCTGTGTTTTCTTTCAACTTCTTTAGCATGTCTGCATTCTATTCTCATTTTTCAGTAGCTGTTAGTAGCTGAATTTCTATTTTCAACTAAGTTTTTCTTTTTTCCGTGGCTCTTCCTTTCACACTGAAAACTGATAGAATTTTGTACACAGGTGTAATAAAGAAATTGAAAATATCAAGAGAATACTTTCTGGAGTCTTTACTTTTAAACTAACTCGAAGTGCTGGAACAGTAGTGGGTGTAAACTGGATATAAATGCAAAATTCTCAGTTTATTAATAATTCAAACTTTATATTTTGAAAGTAACTTCAAAGGTAGCTTTCTAGTTTTCAGGCTAGATGCTTCTGTGTGTTTGATTCTGTCTGGTATTCTACGTAGAATGTGAAATCTTCTGTCATATTTCCAGTGTCCATAGCAGCAACAACGATTTATGCATACGCTTGGCTTGTTCCCCTTGCTCTCTGGGGATTCCTGATGTGGAGGAACAGTAAAGTTATGAACATTGTCTCCTACTCGTTCCTGGAGATAGTGTGTGTATATGGCTACTCCCTCTTCATTTACATTCCCACAGCGGTACGTATGGCCTAAAGAGTGCATTTCTATTACATGCCCTGCACAACGGTCCTGGTTTAGAAAATTTGCTATTTCTTATAATATTGTTCATATTAGACAAAATCTTGGGGACCGGGCAAATCATTTGCTCCTTTTGCTTGGCTAGAATAAAGCTTTTTGTTGAACCTTGCCTAGTGTAAAGATGTCCTGTGGGTCCTGGAAAAGCCCAGGACAGGTCATTTCCCCAGAGGCAGCAAATCCAAGCAAGGGTGCTGCTGGCAAGCCTGGCAGGCAGCCCGAGGCAACTTCAGGAATCGGGATGTGTGTGTCCCCAAGGTACAGACATCAGTGTGCAGGATGGCAATGCTGATGGCTCAGAGGACAAGTTTCCCTGGCAGGGACCAAACTGGGCCACTCTGGCAAGGGGCAGGCCTTGGAGGGAGTGCCATAACTCGGGGGACACACTCATGTCATGTCTGGGAGTAAAGCTCATCACTGCTGCTATTCTTTCCTCAAATAACAGAGACATACCAGATAAGGCATGAGTTAATTTGTGCACAAATTGCTGGAAGTGATGAAATGTCACAGAACAATGCATTAAATAAATGAATCCCCATTTCACACAGTCTCTTTAACAATCATTTTCTGCCCTTTTACAGATTTTATGGATCATTCCACAAAAAGTGGTGCGCTGGGTCCTGGTGATGTTCTCCCTGTGTCTTTCGGGGTCTGTTTTGGTGATGACCTTTTGGCCTGCTGTCCGAGATGACAACCGGAGGATCGCGCTGGCGACCGTGGGGACGATTGTTCTGCTTCATGCCCTGCTGGCTGTTGGTTGTTTGGTATGACACTGCCTTTCCTTTTCTCTAACATGTTATTTCCTGGGACTGGCGACATGTTACGGTGCAGGGAAGGAGGGGTTGGCTGGTTGCTGAAAAATCTTTTTTGATAAAGAAAGAAATAGTACTTCTGAAAAACCTCCGAAGTAAAAGCTGCAATTGTTTCAAACAGCAAAAATTCACGCCAATCTGACTTTGACAGTGCCACTAACAAACTCAGTAATGAATATGTCTTTAGCACAAAATCACTCACTGAATAGTCTTAAATTTATCTGGAATGCATCATAGTATCAGTAAAGCATTAATCTTTATTGTATCCAGTCGCAGCTTATTCCAATGAGTACTATGCCTAGTTAGTCCTTTAAAATGATTGAATGTTCAATATGTAGTGTGTGCTTATGAGTTTTATGTATGAATACATAAACCTGCTAGAACTTAGTAAAATGTCAGCATTATGAAAACAGAAGACCCTAACACTACTGAAATACATAGGGATGAGAACTTAAGTTATTTGTTGTCTCTTTGTTGCGGTAGGTAGAAAGATATCATCCAGGCTTCAGTTCTGTTCCCTGACCCCAGCTTCTAGAGTAGATGGATTTGGTTCCCTGCAGCTCGGGGCACAGGGAAGCGAAGGCAAAACACAACTCTGGTGTCAGCAGGAGATGTGCAGCTGACTTCAGTTGGGCTCCTGTGACCGGAGACTGCCTGGAGCTTCATCAGTTAAAACAGCAAACAGTCGAACAGATTTCTGCAATCCAATCCTTTCCAGTACAGGGCTTTTTCAAAGGCCTTAGCTGCTAACTGTTATATTTAAACGTACCGTTTAGAGCACCATTTTAGTTGACCATTTCTAATCTGACAAAACCAGAAAAGATCCACATTTGCCATTTCAATGCTGTCTTTGTACCTTGTGAGTACTGGGTGTGGAAGGAGAGAGCTGGGTTGAGGCAGTACTGTTTCTTTCTCTTTAAGTAGTGTTTTTCTCCCTCTGTAATAATGTAGGCATACTTTTTTGATGCCCCTGAACTGGATTTTCCTGCACCTATTATCCCTGCTCACAATGGAACAACAGTAGTAACAAAGAGTCAGTAAATAAGGTAAGAATTCAATCTGAACTTTCTTCTGTAATCATCACAGACACCTTGAAACTTTTCCCCATTACTATGGTTGAGTTGAAAAGGGTTAAACAGACCAATTTTGCCAAATGGCACCTATATATAAATACCATACATTAACTTGCACTTGTAAGTTTTAAGTATAGCCATAAAAACATAAAAGACTCTGAGGAACAAAGACATGTTATCTTTCTTTTCTTTGAGGTTTACTCTTGGCGAGGAAATACACATTTAAATAATCTACTCAGTCCCAGAGGTCTTTTCAAAGATTCCCGCCCCCCCCTCAATCTCTTACAAAAGTACAAAACTGTTTGTTAGAATTTGTCCTGCACAAGTAAAACTTAAGCAATAAACCATTATTCTCCTATTTCCCTTTCCATTTAATGTTAAAAGTAAATTGGATTTTGTCCACCTTGCTGTTTGTGTCAGTGTTTCAGAGCAGCAGCTCTGCGTACAGGGACATCCATGTACTGTCAAAGCAGGGCTGACTCGGAGCCTGAGCCACCCCTACAGACTGCATTCCTTGTGTGGGATGGTTTGCTTCCTGGTACCTGGGAGTGCTGCCAGGCAGATAACATTGGAATTCTGTTGCAGAGATGAGACATGGAGCAGGTCCAGGAAAAGGCTAATAGACATGCAGAGGCCAGGCCTCTGCAAGTATACCAGCCACAAATGTGTATGTGGAAATCGGAATATTTACTGACTAGAAGCTAT